AGTAACTAAATGGTTTTGCATTTATTGCTCAGATATTTATTGTGAGTGAAAAGTTGATATTCTTGATACAGTAAATAATGTTTACTAATTTTGCAAGTCAGTTGCATTTTCAGGTCTGATCTTTTTTTCTTATGAAATGACAACAGAATCAATCAAGAGACGCAAAAGCAACCGCTAGAACGACTGTAGAACAGAGCGGAGCAGCAAATAGAGTTATTTCACGGTGCAATTGGAGTCAGGTTTTATTCATCTCATTACAGTTATGCTGGTGTGTTCTTGGTCCTTTGCTGTGCTATTTCTGCACGTTATATAAATGCCTGCAATTGTCCTGCAGTGTTGTGCTGTAGACATGATTCTTCAAATCTGAGGAGCACTATTTCTTTACTTAGGAATTTGTTTTGTTTGTGTGTGTGTGTGTTTTGTTTAGCTATAATAGAAATATTAAATGGAAAAAAACATAAAATCTTACCTTTAAACCTGAAACTAAAACCGCCAGTAGGTGGCGCTAAGTCACTAGCGTCTTAATGAGCGAGTCATTTGAGTCATTCATTAGACCGATTCATTCAAACCCGCGATTCATTCAGTAACGAATCACCGCTGTTTACACTTTGTTTGGAACTACTTTCGATGACAAAATAGAGCAATAACATACAATCTTGTCAAAAATGTAAGTAACTTAATATAAATAAATTTTGATATTCATTTTATACGACATTTCGATTAACATTTGCAATCAGTGTTGATATTAGATACTCTTGCTCGTGTTTTATTGCTTTTTTTGCCCAAATAGTTTGCATTTTTATAATTTTATTTTATTTCTATTTTTTTTAGTTAGCCCCATTAACTTCCCGCCGCCATGTAAAACGTATAAAATGTAAATAAATAAATACAATTAATTAATTAAAATAAAAGCAATGATAGATAGATTTTAAAATAAAAAGTCTGGGAATCCCAGGGCATAGATACAGCCTATTTAGTAATCCACACAGAATAAAATAAAATATTTGATGCTTTTTGAATGAAAACGAGGCTACAGTCCGTTCAAGGTTGTATTGCATGTTTAACGTTGCTGGTGATTTCGCTGATAAAACGTTGAAAATACCGCTTAAACATTTATCAAACAAACAAAATAAGCTATACTGACATTCAGCTTATTGTTGTATTGCATGTTTAACGTTGCTGGTGATTTCGCTGATAAAACATTGAAAATACCGCTTAAACATTTATCAAACAAACAAAATAAGCTATACTGACATTCAGCTTATTAAAATAAACGGTGCTCCCTCACAAAATTGTTTTCATTGCATGTGTGGCGTTTAGCTTGATGAGGTCTATCGTGTTGGAGAAGGAGTTTCTACTAATGAGAGTGATTATGATTGTCAATATGGTGGTCTAATAGTGCTACTTACTGATTCTGACGCGTCCAACATCAGCTCAGCCTCTTCTCTTCTCGTCTCCAGCACACTCCTCAGCCCTCATGCTGAACAAACACTGAACCGTTGACCTGTCTGAGGAGTGCGGGGTTGTTGAGGATGATCCGGAGAGATCATTAGACTGATGCAGCTGCAGATCTCCAGCTCTCTGATCAGCTCAGCTCGAGGAGTTGATTGGTGTGCTAATGAAGTCTCCAGCTCCCGAGTTTTCCAGAAGATTGTCTTTTACAGAGCAGACAAAAAGATAAAATTGCCCAAATGTGATCCCAAGTACAGACCTTGACCTCTACCACAAAATAAAATCTTATGATTGTTTGATTTTAATGTTAACCTCATTAGAAATACACTCATAAACTGCCGATCAACCTCCTACACACTACACACTTCAAGCTTCAAATGACTTCAGTATTAAAACTGCACAAGGCTTCAAATGGAGTGTTTGTCAAGACAACACACTAGGCCTTGAACTTAGTTCTTCATTTTATATTTAATATACACTGCCGGTCAAAAGTTTGGGATCAGTAAGGTTTTTATTACTTTTTACAGTAAAATTGTGAGATATTACTCAAGACAACACACTAGGCCTTGAACTTAGTTCTTCATTTTATATTTAATATACACTGCCGGTCAAAAGTTTGGGATCAGTAAGGTTTTTATTACTTTTTACATTAAAATTGTGAGATATTACAATTTAAAATATCAGGTTTCTATGTGAATATCTGTTAAACTGTAATGTATTTCTGTGATGCGCAGCTGTATTTTCAGCATCATTACTGCAGTCTTCAGTGTCACATGATCTTCAGAAATCATAATAATATGCTGATTTATTATCAATATTGGAAAAGTTTGCTGCTTCATATATATATATATTATTTTTTTTTTGGGAACCTGTGATACTTTTTTCTGGATTCTTTGGTCAATAAGTTAATTTAAAATTGTAATTACATTTTATTTAAAATACAAATCTTTTCTAACAATGTCTTTATTATCACTTCTTATTAATTTAACACATCCTTGCTGAATAAAAGTATTAATTTCTTTCAAAAATAGAAAGAAAAAAAATCTGCTGTCCCCAGACTTTTGAACGGTAGTGTATATTGTTACAAAAGATTCCTATTTTTAATAAATGCTGTTCTTTTTTTTACTTTTTATTCATCAAAGAATCATGAAAAAAGTATCACAGGTTCCCAAAAAATATTAAGCAGCAAAACTGTTTCCAATATTGATAATAAATCAGCATATTAGAATGATTTCTGAAGATCATGTGACACTGAAGACTGCAGTAATGATGCTGAAAATACAGCTGCGCATCACAGGAATAAATTGTATTTTAAAGTACATTAAATTAGAAAACAGCTATTTTAAATTGCAATAATATTTCACAATTTTAATGTTTTTTTTCTATATTTCTGATCAAATAGATGCAGCCTTGGTGAGCAGAAGAAACTTCTTTAAAAAAACATGAAAATTCTTACTGATCCCAAACTTTTGTACTTTCAATGCATTTTTAAATGTTGGAATTTTAAAACATGCCCGGATTGGTTTGGAATGAATTATGGGATTATATAATTTTGACTCCAGATGGTGGCATTAAACTGAAATGATCTGCATGAAGAGAAACTGGAGGCCTGTGTTGTCAAAACTGCTGAGAATAGTTTCCGGACGAGCTCTTAGTGCTCATCTCTCCATCCGTTCACTACAAGCACTGAGAATAGCACATGCAGAAACAGATGAAGGATTTTACTTGGGTTATTCCGAGCTCGTTTCTTCAGCTCTTGAAGACTTTACAGATGATTCAGGGGATACCATGAAAAGGCGTTCGCTGGACAGAGGCCATGTGAAAAACATCCAGCGACCATCATGTCTCATTTCAGTTGTGTTGAATTTCTTGACACCATGTGGAGAGAAACGATGAGAAATACCAGCATGACCTATGAGCTCACTGCTGATATTTCCATGTTTGAGGTAAATCTGGATGCAGTGACGCATTAAATATGAAACGGACCACATTACAGCATTTGATTTTGGCTCTCGTATTACCTCCAGCAACACTATGAAACACTTGTTCACCAGCAACTTTTTCATATCCAAGAATCTAACAAAAATCCACAAATCGTTCATTAAAACATTGACATTTTTAATAAGGCAAGATACTACAGACAAAAAAATAAATAAATTAAAAAAAATTTTTTTTCATGCAATGGTTTGTGCTTTCATAACATTTCAGACTAGCGGAAAGAAAACATCCAAAATACACCTCTAAGTGTTTCTTTTATTGCACGCCATCTGTTTGTGACTGTAGATTTCAACTACAATACTTATCTTTAAAGGTTGTAAAATAAGCTTTTTACTACATCAGCAGCTACACTACGTATACCAAACTTTACCGTTTTATTTATTTTACTTATCTAGATTCTGAACGATATTAGAGGTTAGTATGTATTATTCACTTGATTTTATACATCTCATTCATTAATAAAAAAATTAAAAAGAAAAAGAAAAAAATCAATTACAATACATATCTTTAAAGCCTGTTTTTATTTTTTTTCAGTGACACTTACACAAACTTTACTGTTTTATTCCTATCTACAGTATATTCTGAATCGCTTTACAGAGGGGTTTGTTCATATATCATTCGCCCGATTTTATATAAAATTGTATTCCTAATAAAAAAGTAAAAAAGTATGTTTTTTTCTGGCTGTTTACAGTATTTTTAGATTTATAGAATGATAAAAAAAGAGAACTCCAAAATTCCAAAACTACCTCTAAAAATCAAATAAGAATTTTGAACTTGGTTTTTCCAATGTTCCGATTTTTGTTCTAGATATGTATGCAAATGAGTGTATACTTAATTAGATAATGCATTATTTGCATATTTAAACAATCAACATCTTTTAGTGACATTTTAAACTCTACTCACCTGTAGTGTCTTGCCATAAGAAGTTGCTATTTGTGTCCCTGCAGCACAAAAGCAGTGTTAAGTCGCTGGGGTATGTTTGTAGCAATAGCCAAAAATACATTGTATGGCTCAAAATTATTGATTTTTCTTTTATGCCAAAAATCATTAGGATATTAAGTAAAGATCATGTTCCATGAAG